CGTGTACGGCTCCTCGGCTGGGCTCCGTCCAGGCCGGACAGCCTGAGGGACTCCCGCCTCGACGTCCGCCCCACCTCTGGGCGTAGGCGCCGTTCCGGGGCGGTGGCTGCCCTTCGCGGCTCTCTCCGCTCCTCCCCTCTCTCTGGGCCGGACTTCTCGGCAGGGAGCTTTTGCGAAGCTGGACTCACCACTCCTGCTGTGACCGTTTTCTGTTTGTCTAGTGCGCCGTTCACCAGGTGATTTCAAAGCGCTTTGCGCGGTGGGGCGCAAATCCTCTTGGTTAGTGGGCCCGGCCGCCCCGCACTTTCCAGGGAGCGCTGAGGGTAAGTGTCTCGCCGGGAGTCACGTTTCAAATGGAAAAGAGAGTCCTAACTCAGTTCCTTGATGTCGTATTTCGGCTCACTACTCACAAACCGCTGCCCTTTTGCCCCGGGGCTCCCCGCCTCCTCTCATGGTGGCTGTCACAGAGGTTTCCTCTGCGTTTTCCAAGGTCTGGCTAAGCGCATGTGTGTCCGAAGAAGACAAACGACAAGCAGTCTCACGTGTTTGATATTTTTTCCCCTTTATGTACTCCTACGACATGTGGAAGGCATCCTTCTCCACCTTACTGACTTCCTTTTGGATTTTTTGTTCAGGAAATTGGAAAAACAAAGAAATCACACGTCCAATTCAGTCATTTCTTTGAGTTCTTCAACCCCACTATTAACTCCATTCACACAACAGCATTATCATTAAACATGTTTGAAAGCCTACCACGTGGTAGGGAGTCCTCTGCCTCTATCCAGATACCTTTTGAATTATCTTAGATTCTTAGATTTTTGTAATTTGTAAGCCACCTAAGGGTTGTGGTTATACTTACGAAAGATTAGTTATTGAGGCCTTTTTGTGCAGCAAACAGTGCTCTAAGTGCTTTATATATATTAACTCATTTACTGCTAACTATCCTTTAGTACTTCATTTTCTTAGAACAGAAAACTGAAGCTCAGAGAAGTTAAGTTGCTAGTACATTGTGGAGTATACTAACATTTATAAAGCAAATATATTTCACAGGGCCTAGTTTCCAAAGCCCTGTAGTTGCAGGTATAACCTAACTTTTTAAAATTACGTATGGAAATGTTAAGCTTGCAAAAGACAGGAAACTTTCCCCAGACTAAAATCTCTGATGTAGATAAAGAATTGTAACACAGCAAATTGCTGGCTCAAGGACAGATTCCCTTGGAGCAGGTTAACCTAAAGTTGATTTATTGTTATGCAAAAATACTGAGGAAACTGCTGTAGGAAAAGACAGTATTTGCTAAGAACAGGCTTTTAGGGCTGGCCCATGGCTCACTCGGGAGAGTGAGGTGCTGATAACACCAAGGCCATAGGTTTGGATCCTATATAGGGATGGCCGGTTCGCTCACTGGCTGAGCGTGGTGCTGACAACACCAAGTCAAGGGTTAAGATCCCCTTACCCATCATCTTTAAAAAAAAAAAAAAAAAAAAAGAAATGGGCTTTGAGTAATCCTTTGCATCTCTGTCACCCAGGGGAAGAGAGGTGACAAAGAAAGTGCAACAGTACATATGCGTAAGAAAATAAGTGATTCATTTTCAGAAATGACTTATCTGAGGGTGTTTTAACTGATTCAGGCCCAGCTGTGCAACAGTACATATGCGTAAGAAAATAATCTAAGTGATTCATTTTCAGAAATGACTTATCTGAGGGTGTTTTAACTGATTCAGGCCCAGCTGGAAAGTCGTCTGACTGGTCCAGCCCATTGCTGGAGGGTCGGTCCCTGAACAGATAGAGCTCTCCTTGAGGTGGTGATTAGTTACTAGCCCCTATTATTTTCTTCCAACAGACAGAGCTCTCCTTGAGATGGTTATTAGTTACTAGCCCCCATTGCTTTTCATTCCCTGGTGTTTTTCCTTTCACAGGGCTTTAGCAGGCCTTTTTCATGGGCTTGTTCTGAGCCCTCAGACAAAGAAATTTCTTACAATGGTGTAATAAATTGGGGTAATAAATCTTAGGCATCCTCTGGGAAGATTGTGTTTCCTGTAGTACTCTCAGCCAGTGAGGAACTGGGGGGAGGGACTTGCATACTAGGGGATAAATTGCTTGCTACAGCCCTTTTCCGTGTGCCTGTCCCATTCACAGACACCCAAACCTTGCAACGCCATAATTAAAGTCTCACTTCGCTGTACCTCATGTCTCCATGTCCATCCTTTGGCATCGGACAGGTGACAGCATTTCTCACAATATGTAGATCCGGTATATAGTGGATCTACAATTTGAACCTGGGCTATAACCTGTCTTTAAGATGAGAATGTAAACATGGGTAGGGAATTCCCTCTCTAAAATGTTATTTTAGACTTCCCCCTTAAATTCAAGAAGCACTTGCTCTGAGAATATCTTTTCTGAGCAAAGTCCTACAGTGAGAAGAGCATGATTTTTAGTTTGCTATCAAGTGTCAAATAGCACATTCTGTACTCAAACTTTTCTGGAAGAGCCAATTGGTAAGATGCTAAATATCAATCTGAGCAAAAGAAGGAAAACCAAAGTGTGTTTTTCCTATTCTCTGTTCTTTTTACTGAACCTAGGGCCGGCTGCCTGCCCCAAACAAAAAACCCTGGCTTGGCTCGCCAAAATCTGTTACAGAACCCAGGGCATTCAGGTCCTGGCTGAGACTTGCCAAAATCTTGTTACCCAGGGCATTCAGCTTTTGGCTTAGGCTCACCAAAATCTTGTTACCAAACCCAAGTCTGGCTGCCTGCCCCAAACAAAAAAAAAACAACAAAAGCCGGGCCGGCCTGTGGCTCACTCGGGAGAGTGCGGTGCTGATAACACCAAGGCCACGGGTTCGGATCCCATAAAGGGATGGCTGGTTCACTCATTGGCTGAGCGTGGTGCTGACAGCACCGAGTCAAGGGTTAAGATCCCCTTACCGGTCATCTTTAAAAAAAAAAAAAACAACAACAAAAAAACCCACCCCAAAAGCCAAATGTTGGTGCAAACAGAAGTCAGCTTTTGTTCAATAATACCAGTGACCTGAGGAGAGATGTCTCTCTGGTAAACCTGAAGGAGAATGGCCAAACTAAAACCATCTCAAAGCCTCAGATTTATTGAGGGGGTTTTAAAGAGGGTTAAGGGAATGGAATTAAAAAGCAGGAGGGAGGTGTGGGGGCTATGTGTAAGGAGCCAGATGCAAAGCTCCCTCTGGTTTCTCTTCCTTTCCTTGATGTTATCTTACAGTCCTGCTTCAGGGTGATCAGCATAGCTTTATTGATGTCTCCCTTGGTTTCTCAGGGTCTGCATACTATGTGCCTAGTGGCATCTTTGCAACTCCAGGCTGACTGGAAAACAACTTTACATTTATGTGAATTGTCATCCTGCCCCATAACCAAGGTTCAAAATAGCAAATAGCCATGGGAAAAGAGGGAACTCAGAGAAATTCATGCTAAGGAAAAAACCGTGTCGCCCTCTCCCCCTTTTTTTTCTAAAGCTCATGCAGTGATAGGTCACAACGTGGCTTCAGTACTGCTCACTCCAACATTCTCAATACAAAACAGCACCAAAATGTGCGTGGATTTCTCCCCACCAGCAACCAATTGATTCTGTAGCAGACACCAGCTAGGTGTCCTTCAATTCAATTCTGACACTTATCTACTGGAAGAAAGCATCAGATCCCACAGGTTAAAGGCTCAGTCTGATAAAACTGCCCCCCACTTCAGACACCAGCCGACAAGTCTAGGCCAGCTTATGACCGACCAGCCATAAATCTGGCTTCCCATGACCCCCTCCTTGGGTTTGATTAATTTGCTAGAGCAGCTCACAGTATTCAGGGAAACACTTTACTTACATTTACCAGTTTATTACAAAGGGTATTATAAAGGATACAGATGAACAACCAGATAATAGAGATGCATAGAGCAAGGTGTGTGGGAGGCAGCATGGAGATTCAATGCCTTCTCCAGGAACTTTCACCTGTTCAGCTATCTGTAAGCCTCCTTTGCCCACCCAAATTCAGTTCTTTTGGATTTTTATGGAAGCTGCATTAGATAAGCATGATTGATTAAATAATTGATCATTGGTGATAACTTAATCTTCAGTTCCTCTCTCCCTCCCTGGAGATTGGGAGCTGGGGGTAAAAGTCTCAACCCTCTAATCATGCCTTGGTCTTTCCGATGACCAACACCCCTTCTGAAGCTATCTAGGGGTCACCAGCCATACAAAAGGTACTCATCACTCAGGAAGTTACAAGGATTTTAGGAGCTGTATGTCAGGAAACGGGAATGAAGACCAAATACAGTATTTCACAATATTACAATTATTGTAGAATACATGCCTTGATATTTGGCTTACCTAACCAAGACTTTAATATAACTACCTCATGGGATTGGATAGAGGACATATAGGATAGTGGTGAGCGAGTTGCCTGGAAAAAAGAAAAAAGTACATCATAACTATTAACGAGACCATTGGAATCTGATGACTTCTTGTCCCAGATTCCCAACTGTGTTTGTGCAAATAAGACTTGATAGTAGTTGAACACAGAAACAAGAGACTTTCTTTCAGGTAGATCCCTGAAACGGAACCCTGCCTCTTGCTCACTAAATCCTGTGGTCCAAACCCTGACTCTTGGATAGGTTAACGTCTCAAATGGCTGCTCGTTCTTGTTGCCTAGAAAGAGTGGCCAAGGCCAGCATTATTAGACCTTGGTTAATCCCTAATTTCACCAACCACTGAAGGTCTAGTTTTTTGACTCGAGACAAATTCAAGACAACAAAATTTGTACTGATGGCGTTTTGGATTGGGGCTTTCCACAGCTGACGTTATTCTGGAAAAATAACCCACAGGAAACTACCTTAACAGACTAGATCTCGGCTTAGCTGTTCACCACAAAGGTGGTGAAGTACTTTTGGCTTGTATTTTAGCCGCTCGCCATTGTCTTTTTTCGTGTAATTGCTCTCTCCGCAGAGGCTGTGAATGGAGAATTCTCCCTAAGGTCAGCGTTTAATTAATTGCCTCGCTTTGGCTGCTACAGTGTTACAAATCTTGGAATGTACAGCATCAATCCTACCATTAAACTTGCCTGGAGCATGCCAGCACGTCGGACACTGGTGCTTCAGCAACTGCCTCAGCCACTGAACTAAGCAGGAGGTTCATTTTACAGTTTACTATCTCCGTGAGCCGCCGTTCGAGGCGCGGGACCCACTCGAAACCCAGATTGGGCCTCACCTCTGTCCATCATAGGCTGGCCCTGGGCACCGACTGTTTTGCAGTAGGATTTGGAAGCTGAGCACCGCCTCTGGAAACGAGGGGCGTGAAGGGGCGGGGAGGGAAACTGCTGCATGTATTTCTCTCCCTATTGGATGGCTGGTGCGTCAGTCATACTCTGCTCTGCTCCCGTTGGCAGGAAGGCGCCAGGCGGGTAGCGTAGACACGCTACAGCCCCTCTCCAGTTGGATCGAGGCGCGTGACGTCTCCAACATTTGTTTTGGGGGTTTGGATCATTAATTATTCATTAGGTACTTGAAAGGGCTGCAGCGATTGGTGGCTGAGAACCCTGTTCGATTGTTTCTTAGCTAGAGATATGTGTCACTACGCGGCGGGAGAAGCTTCGTATAAATTATTCCGACGATGGGGGCGGGGCCACACATAAATTAGTCAAATGAACCGCGGGAGGGTGGGAAGCCGGCTACGAATTAGCCTAAGTTATTAAAGATGGCGGCGGAGCGGAGTCGCTCCTCTGTGGACTCGCCGGTCCCGGCCTCTATGTTCGCCCCCGAGCCCAGCTCCCCGGGGGCGGCCAGGGCCGCGGCGGCCGCCGCCCGGCTCCACGGCGGCTTCGACTCGGACTGCAGCGAGGACGGCGAGGCGCTCAACGGCGAGCCGGAGCTGGACCTCACCAGCAAGGTAGGCCCGGGTGGAGGTGGCGGCTGGCGCTGAGGGGGGCGGGCGACGGGTCGAGCAGTCTCTCGGGCGACGGCGGGGCCAGCTGGCCGTCCTGTCCGCGGGAGGGGGCTGAGCCCGCCCACCTGCCGGTTCCCGGGACTTGCGGTCTCGCGCCCGAGGGGCCGCCACCAGGCTCCTCCTCACCCCCCGGCGCCCTGGCCTCACCCCTCCCACCAGCAG